AGCAGCTTGATTTGAGCTTATTCAAGAATATGCAAATTAGAAAAGAGCTAGTATCCCATCCTTTCTCCAGTGTAGCAGTAGAGTCACAGCTCATTAAGATGCCTTTTACTTCTCAAAGGTGACACTGATGAGGCAATATATTTTATTCATATGCAGATGACAAAAGGAACTGTTTGGTTTCAGTCAGATTCAATTGTCATCAATGAACCTCCTTAAACAATGAATATGACAGCATGGCCACAGTAATTGGTCTGAAACAAGGTTCTGGCATCTCAGCTTCACTGAATGCCTGTGATCCCTCCCGCGTTTGAGGAATCCATTTGACAATGAAAATAGTTGAAATAGTTGAAAAGTTGATGTGTGACATTTCTCCATTGTAAAGGACTTTCTCCAATCCCAGTTTAATGTGATGAAACAACTAAAAGTAAAAGGTTTACTTTCTCAGAAGGTTATTCAAGATACATAGCATGACCTAAACAAAAGTTTGGGGTCAGTAAGATTTTTTTAATGTTATTTAAGCAGTCTTATATACTCACCAAGACAGAAAAAAGTAACATTGTGAAATATTATTATAATTTGATATAACTGTTTTCTATTGTAAGGTATTTATGTATTTTTTTTTAATGTATATGAATGTTTTTGTATGTATATGAATATATTGTAATGTATTTTGTGATTATTATGTGTTATTATGCGTAATGTGATGCAAAGCTGAATTTTCAGCATCATTACTCCAGTGTTCATTTCATAATATATGCAGTGTCGAATACATTTGTGCTGGAAAATTGAATTTTTATACAGGATTTTTTGATAGTTAGAATAGAATAGAAAGTTCAAACAAACAGCATTTATTTGAAATAGCAATCTTTTGTAGAATTATAAATTCATTTACTGACACTGTAGGGCCTCCTCCTGCAGCCAATATAGCCTCAATTCCTCTTAGGAATGACAGACACATGCCCAGCACAGTTGCCAGAGGGACTTTGAACAGTATATATCTTCCGGTGGCCAAGTCACTGTGCGATGCTGGTGGAGGAAAATGTTTTCTGACTTGCCCTCCAAAGTGGCTACAACATATTTAGATTTGGTGACTGTGCAGGCCATGGGAGATGTTCAACTTCCCTTCAAACCATTCTGACAAAAGTCTTGGTGTGTGCATTTGTGCATTATCATGCAGATACATGGCACTCCCTTCAGACAATGCTTGAACCAGTAGGTCCACATGGTCTTCCAGAATGGTTTGGCAGTCCTTTGCAATGATGCGCCCATCAAGCACAGTAGGGAATGCCATGATACTGAAGCCTAAAACATCACTGATCCACCCTGTGCTTCACTCTGGGCACACAATAGTCAGAGTGTTATACTCTTTGGGGCTTCTCCCCATAATTCCCATGGATGTGGAAAGACAGTGAAGGTGGATTTAGAGAACAATACATGTTTCACATTGTCCACAGCCCAAGATTTACACTGTTGGCACCAATGAAACTGACATTTGGCATTGATACGAGAGACCAAAGGTTTGGCTATAGCAGCCCAATCGTTAATATTGACTCTGTGAAGCTCAACAGTTTTGGTGGAAAAAGGAGAGTCAAGGTGTTCATTTAATTCAGCAGTGAGTTGGGCAGCTGTGTTATAGCTCTGATATGTCTCCCATTATGTTGTGTGGATTGGAATATTTATGTACAGCTGTGCTATTGCTCTGCTAATACAACCTTCATATTCTGCTGGCTGTCAGTGAAGATTGGCAAGGCATATCCTGTATAGGCATGAAACGTCCAACATTATATTGACCTTTTAATTAATGTTGTTTTATATGGTTTTGGAAACAAATTGATCTGTGTAGAAGTAAAAGTTAAACTGTCATGTGTTATAAGTAACCAAGCAGAAATGACTGTACACTCAATCATTTAAAGAAAAAAGTTGTTGTTTACGGTAAAAAATATTTTTACAACTATTCAGTTCAAGTTTATTGTCATTTGCATATTAGTACAGCCTTCACAGCCTTTACTATAAATGTATATCATTTTTTTGTGGAGTACCTTGAACTAGCCTTGCATTTCTCTGCAAAGATCAATTATCAAAAGACTTCTTTCTTATCATAAAATATGTGTATTTGAGGCAGTGAATAATTACAGTTTATTACATTACATTTTGTTACATTATTATCTTAATTTAATTTTGAACAAATTAAAAATGTTGACAAGAAATTAACTCAGATATAATATCTCTTTACAATATACAGAAACAAATCAGTTTAGTAAGAATAAACACATGGTGTAAAACGGCGCTCTGGATTTGAGATTCCAGAATCTATCATCTCGTCAGAAAGCACAACACAGTCTGTTCACAAAGCACTCGTAATCGTATTACAGTTTGACACTGTAGCAGCGCAGCATGCTTAGTTTGGTTTATGACACTAACATCGTCTTAACACACATTGTGAAAGTGATAATCAGGGGGCTGGTTAGAGCTTAACTCCACATTCAGTGATTCTATAAATATTAAGCTATTGGTACAGTGCCAGTGTGGAGGAAAACTGTAAGGGTCAATTATTTAATTATTTAAACAGCACATTTATAAAACAAATCATTAACACACTTTGGATAAATAACAAATATGAATCCACATTTGTTTGCTGATTAGGACCTCTACAGTATGTCTATGTCCTACTAAAGTTTAAATGCAGAGCCCCCAATTGGTGGTGCAGCAGAATGGAGATGATATAAAGAGAGGGAGAAAGGCAATATCAAGGCCAGAGAGACTTCAGAGAGCTTTATATGTCTCAGACGGTTGAGTATTGTGACAGAACATGTAGTGCACTAAAGCTGTGACTCAGCTCAAACACAAAGACATCTAAATAGACACAAGCCTACAGAGCATTTCAGCCTGAAAAAACATAACATGACACTTTCACATCATTTCAACACCCTTCAGGTTTTATGGGTTATAAACCATGCAGATAAGTGGAATGGAAACATTCCATTTTAATACAGATGTCTTAGACCTTGGGACATAACAGTACTTTAAAGCCATTTAATGGATGATTTTTCAATGAAGGGCACTTTTGACTACTTGAAATAGTCTTGACGACTTGGAGAAAAGTCAACTGTCCTCTAAAATCCTTGGTGTGATGGTAATGACAGCAGTATTAGGAACAGTGATTCTTTTTTTTTTTACGAAACATTGAAAACTGTACACAATAATAACAAATTAATTGTTTCAACAATGATCCGAGTAATCGCATCACAACGCAGAAATGGCATCCAAGAAAAAATGGCCACATTTCGCTTATATCACAGCTCGGCCAGAGCCGTTAAGCTCTGAAAACTTGGCATTTGGCAGTTTATGACAGCCACAATCAGCCACAGTAGATTTCCCATTTAGTCTTAATACGAAAAGTTTTTTTAAAGTAAAACAATGAACGGATGTGTAATTTTTTTATAGTGTGCGATTTACGGTCTTCTACTCATCAGAGCTGTTTCTAACGTCAAGTATGTCTAACTGTTTCTCCCATCGCTTTAAAATATAGCATTCTGTTTAGAATTCAAATGGGCCTGATACATTTTGTGGTCTACGCAGACTAATGCATTATGATCCGTTCTGTGCTATCATGTGTATTCGCACTGCGGCAGTTTGTGTGACACTAACGTGAAACCAGACTTAACTTGCCCCAATGGAAAGCATATTTACTCTGTCTGAATGGTTCCCTATCCCATATAGTGCATTGTGTGCCATTCACCATGTAGAAAATAGTAATTGTGTGAACACATGACTGGTTTCAGCCACAGCAGCTTTGGGATTTGGGAGTGGGGCGCCTTAGATTCTAGAGAGCATTTGATTGGACAGAAAATCTGATGAAAAGGAAAAATTCACTCTGACTTGTAAACACCTTCAAACTACCATTGGTCTGTGGTGATTACATAGATTGACATAGAAATTTTCTCTAGCTCATTTCATTCGTTCAGCTTCAGACCGTCAAGGTCAGACGCAAGCAAAAGCAAGAACACACATCGAGAGCAAGGAAGTTCAAATGCTAGCTAAAGCTAAAAATAATAATGCTATTACAAACTAACCTTTAAAACTACAATGATTTTTCATTAGTCGTGATGAAAAATAATCAAATATATATATATATATATATATATATATATATATATATATATATATATATATATATGTATTATGATGTATATCAAAGTGTAACATTATTGAAAAAGTTCATCAGTTGTTGATTGGATTTTAAAATGTTGGTGTTACTATTAAAATGAATGTAAGGTACAGTTAATTGTGGACTAAATGATTGTAGAAGTCCAGGATATCTGACCAGAGAAAAGTCTGTAGTTTAAAGATGGAGTTATGACATTTTCATAAAACATTTCAAGAAAAGAATAAAAATTTAATTGCGTGATAACTTTAATTATCAGCCTAGGGGATAAAATAGATCCTGTAATTAAACAATCACTCATATACATCAATCTCACAGATGGATTCCTTTCCGCTATACTCTCTCACAGGTTTAATTAAAAAAATATGAACCTCATCATATAGACGACGCTTCGATGTTTCAAACAGCATGCTTTCCACCAACACATTATTCAACAACAACAGTCTGTATATTAGCATGTAAAGTGCTTTCGCTGAATCTACATCTGGCTCACCATTTACCTAGAGGTTCACTACACATTATAGGTAAAATCAGTTCGTACATGTTTATTAATCTCTGCTGCTGCTGATTCAGAGGAGATTGGGAATGAATATGGAGATGAATAATACAATTTCGCAAAAGCATTTATGTGAATCAATAAACATTACAATAATGTTGAACATTTATAATCAATTTGAAAGAATTGTCCTCATAACTGAAAGACAGAACTCAGCCCATTGTGTTTTATGAAGATTGTGTGAAATGACTCTTTGATGTCACACAATAAGGGGAGGGACACTTTGAGCTCTCTGAGTGACGGAATGACAAGGACGTCAAGCGGCCCACAGCTGCCTACCTGATATGTGTTGTCAAAGCTGTCGTACATGAAGCGTGTGATCAGGGAAGTCTTCCCCACTGTAAGAGAACAAAGAGAAGAGAAACATTAAAATAGAAGCCATTTGAAAGCAGACGGCAACTGAGGAAGCCAGTGAAGCCTGCCTGGGCTTACTGGATTGATTTGCAAGCTGTGGGCTGCCAACTGTGCTAATTGAAACCACTGCCAAGAGATCTAATCATTCAATAGGAGTCTTACCCAGAAGGTCGTCAGTGAATTTATGGAACCGTTGAAAATTATTGCATTAGGACTAGGGCAGAGTTACCTTCCTAAACCATCACAGTCTTAGATTTGAAAGATTAAAAAGGATTTCTTTAGTGCAAGAATAGACTCGATTTGTCATCAGCTGTCATATGAGACATTGAAATTGCTACATTTTCCAGGGCAGCACATAACGGTGTTTTATTTTCACATCTACATTTCATGAATCTAATATCCTCATTCTTTTTTGAAGCCCCAAGCAATAAAACATTTATTAAAAAGGTAGATTATTTAGATTTTCACTTCTATCGGGGTAGGTTTATTAAATCTGGGGTTGAAAACAGTTTAAAATATCCAAGTAACAGCATCACAGAACCTAAACTCAGACTGCAATAAAAACATCAGCACAACTTCATCTGCCCTGCTGACCTGAGATTCCCCTGAGAAGCAAGAGGAAAAAACACAAGAAAATATACCTGTGTAGATAAATGGATGAATTTACCCACACCCACACATCCACACACAGAAAATAACTCTGAGCTACAGATCAAATAAAGGAGAGAGTAGGATTTCTCATGGCTGAGAAGTCTTTACAACAAGTAGACTAGAGGCTGCAGGTCACAAGTCATTTAAATGCTAATTTTCCCTAAGACACTGATCTGTCTCCGTTTAATAGAGAGGAGGATCTAAATTAATGGGGCTCATAAGGCTTTATCTAATGCTTTGTAAATATTGAATTGTGGTTTGGGCTATGCCTCTTTCCCTCCCCATTTAACAAACCATGATTATTGAGTCCACATAATCATTGGATGGAAGATAGCCAGCAATAGCCGACACTGATGACAACACCAGCTATAGAAACTACAGCCGACGCTGAGAGGCAGCCGCTAAAGCACAACGTCACATACATAAACCATCAGCTCCTACTGCAGTGAGACCAGTGGGAATAAAACATCCACTTGGATTTGCTTTGTTGAAGCAGCGAATGTGATTTGAAATATAGGACATTTATTTTTTCTCTAGGATTCTCAATACAACAGTTTGGGGTCGGTATGGATTTTTTGTGTCATATGATCCTCAGAAATCATTCTGATATCCTGATTTGGTGCTCAAAAAACATTTCTTACTGTTTTTGTGCGGTTTCATATTCAATATGAGCTAAATTGTCTAGGATTTTTTTTTTGATGAATAGAAAGTTCAAAATAGTATTTATTTGAAATAGATATTTTTGTAGCAAGTCTTTACTGTCACTTTTGATCAATTTAATGAACTGTTTGTGAAAAAGGATATTAATATCTTTCAAAAAATAAATAAAAATCTTGCTGACCCCAAACTTTTGAACAGTAGAGTACAGACATCAGTTTACAGCATATAATATTTTCCATTCTACAATCTTTCTCTTACCAAAACGAACAGTTCAAGCTCTGTTACTAATAGATAAGAGTGGTGGGCATCCAATTTTAGTCCTGATAAATATTTAATATCATGTCATTTAGTGGAGCAGAGGGCATCCAACATTTTTAGTTAATAACTTATGCCAGACACCAAAGCAATAGCTGGACACAGGGCTTAGTGCTTAGCCTTTGCTGTGATAGATTGGATTTGGTGCTTTGACTCCACTAAGAGCGCCCATTAGAGACAAAATCAGATAATGGATACAGGATAAGGAAACAGGAAGGAAGAGTAAAGTATGTTGAAAAATGTAAGGATATGCTGGCAGATTAATGGGAGAAGTGACAGATAGAATAGATAAGAAATTGAATTTTGCCTTAAATGAAACCCCACATGTACCTGTACCACTAAAGGTACATTACGCAGACTGCCTCATACAGTACATACTGTACATTTACACAGCCCGATCTCATGAAAGTTCGTATATATGGCACGAATGTCATTTCTCGTGGCATTTATACGCCAAAAACAGTTTTTGCGTGTATATGGCACGCGATTTTCGCGTACATATGATACGCACTTTTTTGCGTATAATACGCACGAACTCCCCACCCCCCTCCCCCCTAAACCTAACCCAGGGTTTTTTAGTGCGTACCATATACTTTTGGCGTATAAATGCCACGAGAAATGACACTCGTGGTATAGATACGCATCTTCATGAGACTGTGTTGGAAATTACACTACCGTTTAAAAGTTCAGGAACAGTAGGATTTTCATGAAATAGTTTTTTTTCGTGGAAAATATATTTTTTTAGAATTAAATTGGTCAAAAGTGATGAAGAGCTTTTGTATTTCAAACCAGTGCTGTTCTTTTAAACTTTCTATTCATAAAATATCCTGAAAAAATATATATATTAGTTTCCACAAAAATAAGAAGCAGCATGACTGTTTTCAACATTGATGATCATAATAAATGTTTCTTGAACACTAAATCAGCATATTAGAATAATAAATAAAGAAAAATTAATTAAAATTAATAATATAAAAAGTATTGTTTTAAATATTAAATATAGAAGCATGAAATCAATGAAAATATTAAATGATAAAACATTACAAATAACACATCATAAAATAATAAAATGTACTCCGTTATGGCAACTGCAACAAACACTTGTCTAAAATAAACACTTGACACTTTTGACTTGCTGATATAAGTGATGTGTGCAATTTAAATGAAAAAAAACTAAAGAAAATCTACTAAAGAAAATTTTGTGCAACATTAGTCTTCTAAAACTTTAACCCAGGTCTGGAATGCATAGTTTTTTGGCTCTTTAATGTGACGTGACAGATCACTAGTTCAATTATGTGAACCGATCACCTTTATTTTTAGTTACAGCAAACTAAACATGAATCAACTTTAGAAGGAATGTTGAAAGATACAGTACAACTTCCCAAATTAATCATGGCTCATGGTCAATCAGTGTTTCAATAAAACATCTTGAGACTACTTGCAAGGGAAACACTTATGGTCCATGCTGGCTCAGATTATGTTTAAGGAACATTCTTTGTGACTACATAATTCGCAGGTTGGAAAAGATGTTCATTTGACACTTTATCAGGCCTCATATTTATGCCTTTAACTACAGAATCTAGCTAATGGCCCTCAAATCGTTCTCCATGTGTTTTTATGTGGTGAGTGTGATGAATCAGAACCTTTGTAGTAAAACATGAGATTCCCTGGGAATCGAATGAAAAACAGATAGTGAATAGCTGACGCTGTCGGTTGCATTAAGGGGAGCCGTGCAGGTGTCACTATAGATATATCACTAACATTTTTGTTGTTTGTTTGCTTTCCACTGTACATCCTTCTTGTGTCCCTTGTCTGTTTATGTACAGAAGATTGATTTCATTACATGTCCTAAAGTGTGATAGCTTGAGCAATGATTAGGGCCATATGATGATGGACAGAAAACTGAAGGACGGAATCATGGAAAGCAGTCATTAAAATAAAGTTCACTGGATTATGAAGAATGCCACAGAATTTGGGCTAATATATCAAAAGTAGGATGGTAAAATTACTCAGAAACAAATTGTGATATGGACAAGTGTCTGTGATTTAACTGCTAAAATAAATATGAAGTCTGAATGCGTATGTCTCTGACAGCTCACTACAGCTCTCCAAAATAAAAGTTTGGTTTGGTTATATTACCATTGTATAGTAAAATGTATACTCCTCAAAGTAGTAATATACTACTACTACTAATAATAATAATAATAATAATAATTTATTAAAATATGATTTGTGTGGAATGATATATTTTTTTCTTTCAATTATTTAGTAAACCTGTTGTTTTTCAAATAAATTCAAAGATTTCACAGAGCCCTACATGAGCCCTGTGTTTTAATTCTGCTGAATAGTGTATGCTAATTATCAGAAGCACTAATTACAGTTAAATGATTCCTGCTGCATGATAAGATACAAAATTTTGCCTAAAATGAAGTTCATTAGCTGAAATGATATGCTTTCATTAATGAAATTGCTGACAGATTGTCTGTGGCATATCACATAGTTCAGAGTGTTTATGACCCGAAACTTGGTTTGACAACATTAAGTACTGAGGACTTTATCAGCATACATGAGTCATGAATATATAGTAGTGATGAAATAAAGCCGTTTAAAATTCAGTTCTTGAAGTTTATGGTGTGTCTGCTAACATTTATCAGGCAGTGCCTCGAGTATGTATTAAAGAGATATCAAAGAATCTCTGTACCAGAAGACTCTGCTGTCAGTTGCGTCCATGTTTTATCAGTTTATTTCTGTAATAAGATTGGAATTAAAAAGATTTCTCAGGGTTGTTAGTCAATTTCAGTATATAAGCATTTCTTAGTCTTGGAATTTGAGTGTTATTTCCACTGTTATTGCCCAATAAATAATATTCATTCAATGCTTAGTTGTGGTACCTGCCATTAAAGCATTCATTTTTTCAGCATGTACTCATCTTTATGTACACATCTCCACGTTGCTTTAAACATGTATGGCTTTTTCCTTATGCTGAACAAAAAAATAACCTAGATATTTTTTTTAAAAAAGTGTCTATGCAAAAAAACACATTTATTGTTTTTCTTGTGATACATTGTCAATAAAATGAATTTGAATGATGTTTATCAAAAGTAACAAACATGTCAAAAGTAACAAAGCACAAAGCTTGTGATCATTGGCAGTTGCGCTATAAATACTGTGATGTTCATGCATCAACAGAAAACAGCATACAGTAAAAGATCCTAACATTTTAGAATCATATCAGTATTGATAAAAACAAGAATTGTTAATGATATTGTTAGCATCCACAAAGCTGACACGTTTACCTGTTTTAGTGTGCACATAGTGGACTTTCTGCACTTTTACTTGGGTGTTCATTAAGGAACGA